ATGACACTCCGCCCCTGAGGCTGACATCCCGTACATTCATACCAAGATTTGATCAAAAGTCCCCCTGGGATGTGCAGTGGTGCAGCAGGGGATTCTCGGATTGGTCTCCCTCCTGATCAGTAAGTACAGCGGGCAACGAGGACAAGCACGAAAGAGATCAAGGCAGAAATGGAGAGAGAGCGAGAGAGGAAACATATGCACGCATCACAGGATGCCCCGGGGAGAAGAGAACGTTTGGGAGAATGGCGGGCACACCTACATGTAGTCAAAGTGGTGCTTTCGGACTTGTTGTTGTTGATTTTTATTTTATTTTTGGTGCTTTCCGACTTACTTGGCTCGCGCTTCAAAGTAACAGTCCGGACAGTCCCATCCACTGACGACGCTGCGAACGACGGTAGGCTCAGCGGCAAGCCGCTCAGTTGCTTCTCCGCGGTGGATACCGACTCCAGGAACTCGTCTCTGGCGCTCTTCTTCACCGCCGGGCGCGATCGCTGCGAGCTGCTTCCTGTTCGCTGTCGCTCCGGAGCGAAGGACGCAGCTCCCGACGACCGCGCTGTGACGGTAACAGCTCGCTGAGGTCTCGGCCGGCTGCTCTGGTCGCCAGTGCCGAAGCTACCCATGGACGGCACGCTAGATTTGCGACTATCGGCGCTTCGTTGTGAGTCCGAGCGCCTGGGATCCGCTTTGTGCGACGCAGCACCAAGGGTAGAATGACTTTGGGGAGAATGGACGGCGGACGAATCACTCGGTTCCGGAGACGGTGTAACGGTGCCGCTCGAGCCCGCCAGTCCACCTCCGAAACCACCCGCTTGGCCATTGTTGACCGTCGTCGGAATGTCGCCTGCCGACGTGCTCAGCGTACGATCGGACACCGACGATGCCGTGTTCCTTCGCCCCTTCTTGTCGGGTCGCTTTGTGTCCTTTCGCTGCAGACTAGGAGACCGTGGCGGCTCTGCTGCACTGGCAGCAGCGGCAGCAGCCGCAGCTGCATCTTCCTTTTTCTTGTCGCGGCGAAAGCGCAAGGGCATTTTGCTGACTCAGTTTTCAACTGGCTCCAGGTTGGTCGCAATGAGGGATAGCCGTCTTCTCGGCCGCTAACAGCACTGCTCCTCTAACGCATCCGCCGCTAGCAGATTTCTATTGAAGCAGAAATGGAAAACGGGCCTGCGAAGTCTGCGAAGCACTCGACACACAGCCGTCGACTGGTCATTACATTGCACCGGCGGCACGACCCTAGCCTGGTGCTGCTCCGTACCAGAGCTGATTTACGACACCCAGTAGAGTTTGGATCAGGAAAGCAGAGCGCTGGGATAATAATTATTATTTCAAAGCACACACACCAGCGTGCAGCGCGCCCGTGGAATTCTCCTCCGCCAACCGTGCCGTACAGTGAAGAGGTGAGCAACTCAAGTAGAAGCTGGTCAAGCGGATGAGCGTCTTCTTTTCACCCAAACGACGTTCCGTTGCTGCTCTGCACTCAGGTCAGGATTATCCCACAAAGTCCCGTGTGCATGCGGACATCATGATGAGTGACACAGCCAATAAAAAAAATGTTGAAGCCTTTTTTGAGTTTGACTGAGTAGAGAAGCGCGCATTACAGTCTGTCAGTCATGTACATCGACGGCAGTACCAACGGCATGCCGGCAACGCTGAATGCAGCATCCAGCGTGCGGGCAGCGGCGCGGTTGAGCTGTACATGTATGATGTACTCTCTGTGCACAGACCGTCAGTCATCTGGTCATGTGCAGGACGCATCTGACTTGACAGTGACTTGATTGAGAGAGTTGTGCATGTACTGAGCTTGCTTGACTCGAGCTAGCGATACATGCGCCGATAGCCTACAATAGTACAAAAATGTAGCCAGGCCAAACAAAATTTGATTACGTCATGTGCAACATTGATGCTGAGACTTGCTGACTGATATGACTCGAGTCTCGATCTCTTGTCTGGCTCACAGACTCCTCAGTTGCAGTCTTGACTCTTGCCGTCTTGGACTTCTTTGACTGGCTCTCACAGACTCAGACTACTCGAGCCTGCTACTTTTCTTCACACAGATAAGACACTGAGACAGTGAGTGAGTGAATAGCATCTCCACCTGCACTGTCTCAGTCTGTTGCAGTTGGGCTTTGCAGTTTGCCTTTCAAATCACTCAGAAACAGATACTTCATACTGATAGTACTAGTAGTAGTGACTGATACCGTCGGTCCCGTTGCTACATTGTACAATGTACTTGATGTCCTTGTTATCTGGTAAAAAGATAGGATCTGACATGAAAACTGAAAGCTGTCGACCCGCTGCGACCTTGTACATTAATTTCACAATGATGTACCTGACTGTACATTATTGTAATGCAGTGTATACTACTAGTCCATGTGCACAGAGACAACTCAGTTGTGATGCAGTGGGTCTGAGGATTGCCTTTGCTATGTGCATGAAACGCAGCGTTTATACAACAATGTCCTAGCGGGTTGTCTCTACATAGCTCTGTTCTCTTCTGCTTGTGACTTTGTGGTATAGCTGTTACTATTGCTCCATCCTTGTTACTTGCGGTGTGGAGCACTCTAGGCAGTCTGGGAATCCTCGATATTGTATACAATCCCCAGATAGGCGTCAGCCTTTGGGTAATCCTGAAATAAAGATTATTATTATTATTATCATGGATTGTAAGATTTTACACGACCTCAGGACCACCGGAAGCAGTTGTTGATTGGTCCGGCCGTAATTATCATAATCTTTCATACCTTGTGCATGATAAAGTGGGTACGTACATGTACGTATCACCTCCTCAGCAGTAAACCTGGTTAACATGACTGTGTTGTGGTGGCCAATTATATGCACGTTGGTCCGGTGATGACCTGACCAACCGTGATGAGTCTGATGACCTGACCAACCAGGGCGGCGCCAACCAGGCTGGTTCCGACGGGCCTGCATGATGACTGTATGATTTTGACAACCTTGGTAACATTATTACTTCGTGTTAGCAGTTCCTTCGGGTTAGCAATTCCTTTCCGTAGGAAAATCTCGATTCGTGGTCGATATGGGCGGGGCGGGACAAGATGCGAAGTAAATAAAGGAGAGACGGAAACAGACGGGACACTCACAACATGGTCACTCATCGAGTCAATGATGGCATCGAATCGAAATGTGAACACCAGTAACGGAATTCGGGAACGCAGAAGTGCTACATGTATTGAAATAAAGGACGCAACGGAACAGTTCAAAGTGTTCAGGCACAAAATCATTGATTCACATGTACACTGCATGCTTGTTCTTTCACTGTATCTTTTGTCAGCATCTCTCTTTTTCCGAATTCATTTTGCACATTTTCTCTTTTTCCCAACTCCAATGTTCATTGTACAAATAGGAGATCCCCCCGATAGGCGTCAGCCTATGCGAGCCTAGGCGAGGGGGAGGCAAGCGTACAAAGCGCCTGCTTTTCGAGTGTGAACTGGCGATGGTGCGTTGTGCGCCGATCAACGCGACATTCCTCGCCCCCCCCCCCCCCCTCCTCCTCCTCCTCTCCTTCTCCCTCTCGCCCTCATCCCTCTCCTCTCCCTCGCCCTCTCCCCGGCCCCCTCCCCTCCCTCTCGCCCTCTCCCCCTCTCTCTCTCTCCCTCCCCCTCTCTCTCTCTGTCTCTGTCTCTGTCTCTCTCTCGAATCATCCATTCACTCGACAAGACCTGGCCGCGAGATGCAACACTGAAGCCGAGAAAGATCCCTACAGCTGCTTACTAACTACTAAACATGTAGAATGTTGTGCTGTGGATGTAGCGGGGGTCAGTGTCATTCACGGAATGGTTTCGAGAGACAAGAGAGTGCGGAAAGTGGCTGCACTCCATGCCATGCACTATCCTTTTTAAAGGATAGGGCATGGCATGGAATGCAGCCAATTTCCTATTTAGGGGCCGTCCGTAAAGATCGATGTTTTTTTAGAGACGATATTGGTGCGTCTGGGGGGGAGGGGGTTTGAGCCATGTGCGTCTTTTCGAGCATCAGAAAAATATCGATGTAAATATCTGAAGTTTCGCCGATCCCTGCACGCGGACGTCTAAATGGCTATACAAGAAATGTGAAACCAGCTTCCGTTCGCGGAGCTAAAACTCGCGACACAAGAACAAAATCAAAAAGTGGAAGCTGTACGCCCATGGCGAATTTCAAGAGCAAAAGAATGAGCTATTGATTGTGGAAATCGGCCGAACGATGCCTGCGGGAGACCTTTTTCAAGACGTAGAGGCAGTGCGAACAAACACGGACGAACTCCACAAGAGTTTCCAGTCTTCACTGTCTGAACAAGGATTCGAAAAAATTCAAGCCCGAGCGTAGCCGCTTTGGCTACACCAGTACACGATGGCTGAGCACTGCAGCGCCAACCCGGTTCGCTCCCCCCAGGCGATGCAGCTATTGCGTGAGTGCGGCGGGATTTTCACGCCTACACCGGACCCTCAAAATCCTGGGCACTTCATGAGCATCCAAAAATATTGATTCCATGATCTAGATGTACATGTGCGTCTTCTGGGGGGAGGGAGGGGGGTCAAGGGAGAGAAGCACCAATATCGTCTCTAAAAAAACATCGATATTTACGGACGGCCCCTTAATAACAAAAAAAGTCGAAAGTCAATTACCGGGGGTATCGCGTCTGTGGAACTTACTTACGAAGGCCGCTAACACCCCATAAATCCAGCGGCGGATGCAGCGTCTAATGGTCGGGATGTAATAGTGGGGATGAAGGGATAAGTCTCACAACCACTGCCAGAATCCCATTAGCCGCACCCATGTAGCCCTTGTGCCTTGTGAGATAAACATGTACATGCAGATCCATGTTGTTGGCTTGACAGCATGAAACAAGGTGGAGGACACCGTGTTCGCCGGGAATCAGTGACCTTTCTACAACCATCCACGGTTGGTAGAGCCCCGGTGCGCGACGGTTGAGACCATCTGAACCGAGACGGTCTCAAAGGAGACGTAGTAGCATCGAGATTAAAAACACTCTGCACTGTGTTAGGTTTTTACTCTTGGGTATACTAGTAATAATTACGACTCTGCATGCCAAATGCGTGAACAATAATGATTATGATCATGACGATGTCGTCATAGTTGCTAGGCTGCTCCTCTGCATATATATACTTGAGCAGAAACTGTTGACGGAGAATAGAATGGTATAGTGCTAGATCAAGCGCTAGTTGTGATAAAATAACTCAAGCAGCAAACTAATTCTAATGTTGACAAGGCTGGGTTCTGCATGCCGATTGACAAACGGGTAAAAGTATGCATTTTTGTACTTGTGTACTGCTGGTGGATAAAAATATAATGCTAATAATATATAATGCTATATGATTATTGTTTCAGTGGCTGTGCGAGCTAGTGTGTGCGTGTGGTGTGTGTGTGTGTGTGTGTGTGTGTTTACAGGTACATGATACAGTCATGTTATGTATGTATGTGCATGTGCATGTGCATGTGTGTGTACATGTACATGTATATGCGCAGAGTGTTATAATAAATACTGCATGGCTCTATGCCACATTGTCATTGGCTATGCATAACCTACATGTACATGCACCTAACATAAACATGATGATAATGATCAGTTACTGTCCGGAGTTAGACAGTTCCTTTTCTACTCCTATCCATTTTGCAACTGTATGCAGGTAGTACCTTTGATGTGAGGTGCAAGGACGTTGTTGTTGCTGTTGTTGCTGTTGTTGTTGTTGTTGTTGCTGTTGCTGTTGTTGTTGCTGTTGTTGTTGTCGTCGTCATTGTTGTCGTCGTCATTGTTGTCATCGTCGGTGTAACCGTTGTTCTTGTTGTTGCTGTGATTAGCAAACAATGTGGCTTCATAGTTGGTACTACAGCTGTGTTAACGAATGATGACTACGGGCAGACATATGGATGCAACAAAAGTGCACTGTACCCTGATTGAGTGACGAGGACACATAATACCCTAAAACACACCTTAAAGCACACATATGCACACGCACACACATGAACACTCACAACATGCACCACGCTCACTTAGTGTTGGTGATGTCAGAGAACGGCTTTGGAGCGGTGTGCTGATGTCGTAACTTCTTCTTCTTGTTCTTGACGGAGCGGATCGCATTCTCATCTGTGATGCGAGCGGGATCTAGAGGCTGTTTCGAGTGGCCAAGTTTTGCACACTTGTCCTCTAACTGTGCTGGTAATGCATTCACCTTCTGTGATCTGTCCTCTATCTCTTTGTCGGTGGGGATGGTTAACGATGATTCATCGATGACGTCATTGTCTAGTTCTTCTTCGGTGATGACAAGCGATGGTGGCTGGATGATGATGTCATCTTCCCGCAGCCAGATGTTCTCTTGAGCGGATGACACCAAAGCAAGCCACTCGTCATCGCCAATGCTCCCTATCCTGCCGGCCTGATCCGGCCAATTATAGACGTAGGACCTCACTGTGTGGACACTGTCCCTGTCAAAGCCATCCCTGTCGACATCGAGGAAGCCTAGAGTATGCAGGTCCGATGCCCTCAGCAGGCCGGTGTCCGCATCAATCCAACTACTCGGTTCAAGGACGTCATCAGGCCATACGTCGCCGTCCAAGGCAAACGGTATGCTCGTCCTACACGTAGATCCAGCTGCTGCTAAGCCTGATTCTCGCGAGCAGCCGCTCATGGTTGGTCTCTCAAGCGCTGATGGTGTGCTTGACATCCTATGACTGGGCAGCTGCTCAATTGCTGACGATGAGTTGAGCTGGCGCAATGCGATTCCGTCGTCGTCGTCGTTGTTGCCGTCCGTTGGTTCGATCTGCGGAGCATGGCTGATGACTTCATTGCTGTCCGACTCTGTGCTACTTGATGTGGCCTGGCAGTCCGCAAGAAACGTGCCCGAGTCGTCAGCATCTAGCCCCAGCTCTTGGTCTGTCTCGGTAGAGGTATCGTTCTGTGATTGGATCACTTGTTCGTCAGCTGCTTTTTGGTGCAGCTCAGGCACGTGACACTGTCTCATTTGGTGAGAATCTTCACCGTGTTGGTGGCCTTCTACTGACCCAATGCCCGCTGCATGCTCGTAGCCGTGGAGGAATGTATGCGGTGCGGCCGTGAAGTGAGCCCCAGCCACCGAGAATGCTGACGAACTGGACAAATGTGTGGCCTGTGCTCTGAAAATTGCTGGCAAATCGTTGCAAGAAGCATTGCTTGCAACTTCGTGGTCCTCGCTACTTAGACATGCAGGCATGCTCGGTGCTATGTGTGTGTCCTGTTGGGAATGTGCGCTGGATGACAGCCTGAATGTCGGCTTGTCGAATGAGAGCACGTGTGCAGCCTCCCCGGACGGGGGCAGCGAGGCGAGATAGCGCTCGCGTAGTTTCTGGCTGATCTTGGACGTCGTCGACGCGTTTGGATTCGGCCGTGTCATGTTCGCGGTGGCAATACCGAATCCCCAGTGCGGGGAGTCAAACACTTGTTCAACGGTGGCTGCCTCTCTGGCACTACCTCCGTGCTGCTCTCGCAGATGTTGTGTGAAACGCGCCAGCGAGCGGTCTGCCCGTTTCACCAGCTCAAAGCTACGTAGCCTGGGAAACTTGAACGGCGTGCTGTCGTCGGGTAGTGGACGTTCGTACGGTCCCGGGAAGGCATCGGGAGAGTGCCCCACCGCATCGCCACTGCTTGGTAGTTTGAACAGTCGCGCGGCTGCAGTCTTTAGCACCGAAGGTCTCGCAGTGCCAGAGTTGCCGTCAGCGAAATCTGGCGAGGACGTGGTCTGGTTCATCGACAACTGTCTCGGTTTCATGGGCAACATGGCCGGGGAGTAGCTTGTGTAGTGTCCCTGTGCTTGGCTGGGCGCCTCGCTGTCCCACAGGTCGAAGTGATTCATCATCGACTCGGGCGTGTTGCTGTATTCACTTTCCATGAAGGAGAGGTGAGGTTGCTCCGGCCTTGGCGCTTTCCTAGCCACAATGAAACAGGGGACGAAAGGAACACAGGCAGTCCCAAAACTATTAGACACACACTTTTTAGCTGTAAATACATCCAACCACGGTAAGAAACAGTGTAGAAACTTAGAAAGACACAAAGATAATAAACGGATAAGAAAAACGAAGTAAGGTGGACCCTGGTACCTGTACCCCAGAAATGCCCATCACATCATTCCGGCATGTACTAGTATTAGGGACGGGTCCTTCAGTTTATATTTTTTTATCCACACCGTGTACTACAATTGGACATGTACTAGTATTGGAGACGTGTACGTTTTTAATGGGGAAAATACGGCACACGAGGATAATGCTGCTAGGAGAAATCCGAGTCTTGGGCATGGACCTGAGCAAGCACTTGTATTGAGTCGCACTACAGTGACATTGTCGCTTGAGACAGCACATGCTTGTCAGTTGTCACTAATTATTAATGTAAAAACAAGAGTGTGGAACGCCGTTACGTTTGGCCCATGTTTGGTCCATCTCTCTCTCTCTCTGGCTCTCTTTCTCTCTTGTTTGGTCCGGCAACATACAAATACCTTCATAAAATATAAAACACAAGTTTTTCTCATATTTTTCTATTTCTTGTTTTTCATTAGCTTTAGCATGTTCATTCACATTCTTCATCATTTGTGAGAACTAGACCTGGTCCAGTGAGAAGGCATTCTACTGCCTGTAATTCTGGTGAAGTAAAATAAAGTAACAACATCAACAACAACAACAATCTACCGTTGGATATGCATATCCGTCTGCCACACAAGCATGCGTGCGCACACATGATACACACATACTCACACACACACACACACACATACACACACACACACACACACACACACACACACACACACACACACACACACACACACACACACACATACACCATCACACACACACCATCACACACACACACACACACACCGACACACACACACACACACACACACACACACACACACACCGACACACAAACACACACACACAGCACATAGTATATATTTAAAAACACACACACACACATGTACACACATGCACACACACACACACACGCACGCGCACGCACGCGCACGCACGCATGCACGCACACACACACACACACACACACACACACACACACACACGCACACGCATGCACGCACACACACCCACACACACACCCACACACACACACACACACACACACACACCCACACCCACACCCACACACAGAACAGCACACGCGTACCTTTTGAGCTCCACTGTTGCGGAGTGGTTCGCGTCCAGCATGACGTTTGTATCGTCGTCATGACAGCAGGAACACAGATCGCGTGTCAGCTCGCGGTGATAACAGCCCACCATGATGGCAAGCAGCACAAACTGAAGAACAACAGCACCAAGTAGGGTGTAGAACACGTAGGATTTGATGCAGAAGTTGCCAACAGCCGATTCGGGAGCATTACGCAAGTTCAAACGGTCCGTTGGCGATTCATCAGACCTTCGTGAACGACGTCCGTGCCTCAATTGCGGATGCCGATGTCCACCTTCCAATCGTGGATGCCGATGTCGATCTTTGAACTGTGGCGGCTCGGGCATTGGTTGTCTGCGTATGGACATGACAAGCGGCGGATGAACGGCGAAGATGCACGATGAAAACCGGCGCGCAAGCTCAGCCACGCCGCTTCTCCATCTTGTCCGTGTCATGTGCGTCGTCATTGTCGGTGGGCCTGGGTCGAGCGCCTGCCGATACAGGTGAGGCTGACAGATATAGACACAGTCGGCAATCGTCTGAGCCATGTAAACCTCCTTGCAGTTACTATAGTCAGACACACGCACATCGAGAAGGCAAGCATAAATTAATAAGCAAGGGGATCTAATAACCTTATAACAAAAGTAATGTGCTGAAAGGCTATCTTTGGTCTCTTCCCTGTGTAGTGTACTCCTACTTCGCTGCAGAGAGTGCATGTCGTAGGAAAAGAGAAGAAAGGAAAGATAATTTTAAGTTCAGGAGCAAGTGAAATCTGAAAGTGTGTAGGATGTGTTTTGTTGGTATCGGACTTTGTTTAGCTCAGTAGTCAACTTCGCTAATAACGACTGCAGGTATAACGACAATAATATTATTAGCGAATAACGACAGAATTTCTATGCCCAGAGCAAAGTCCCACCTGACTGCAATACATGATAATGAGACTTCGGGTATAAGGACACTTTTCTGATGCCCCGCCGAGTGTCGCTATAAGCAAAGTTGACTTTATTACAAAACTCTGAGCTGTGCATAAGGACATGGAGGTGATTAGCTGATGAGCTCGGACTCCACTCTTTCACTTTGTTTGCTTACACATGCAATGGAGGACAATGGGCGTAGTCCCCGGCCACGCTGCATGTTTGCATACCTGCCAAGTACTGAGAGTGCTTTTTTCTGGATCGCCATGGCAAAATCCCGGGATTTGCCTTGGTTTTTCGGGATATGTCATATTTTTTCAAAAAAATCCTTCTTCAACTTTTGATGGCACCAATATTTCGATAATAGATGATTGATGGTGATCCAAGGATCACACTTACACATGTTCAAGACTCAAAAACGGAAGTTTTTCAGAGACTTCTCACGGAAGGAGCTGAGGAGATCCACTGGTACTGCAGGCTATGGCGGTCCGGGATCAATAAGGACAATTACTGGCCTGTGACAAGTCATTTAGAAGTGCTCCAAGTACAATATCAAGCTTGTTTCTTGTACAGTGAATTTCGGGATAATCGACAGGAATTTCGGGATCGCGGGAGTTCATCCAAAATTGAGGGATAAGGCCAACCTTTGTTAATTCATTGTTTAACGTCCTTTTTTTCGCGAAAAGGTACGCGGGAGGGCGGAAAAAAAACAAAAGCCCATTCCAAAAACTTGAAACCCCAATCAAACATTTTGACCAGTAAAGCATGTGACATATACAATATTTCTGGGTCTAACGGCACTTGCAGGCATAGAACAACACTCTTTGATGGTACATTGGAGCGCATGCCTGATGAATCCAACAAAACAGGTACATAGCATGGAGTTAGCATGTCATGAATTCATTACATCTGGATTTTTACTAGGACACACACCGTACGATATTTAAAAGCCAACAAAAAAAGAAAAAGAACACAAGACAAAGGCATGCCCGGGAGGCAAGATTATAAGTTTAAGGTCATGATCGGCACACTGTGAAACTACACAATCATGTATTTACAACTTCGCATATTATTGGTACTACTACTTTCTTGTTTTTTTTTCCGGTCGGAGGCAAAAAGGTAGGCGGGCGCGGACGTTAAACAACGAAAAAAGAAAGGGTGGCCTAATCCCGAAAAAATCTGGATACTTGGCAGGTATGTGTTTGTGCCGTGCTGCTATAGGAGCAAGAATACAGTACCGGTAGTATTATAATAATAACCCAATACTAGTTCAAAACTAGTATTAGATAAACCTTGTTATAGTTCACACATATTGTTAGACTGACAGCATGAAACAAGGTGGAGGACACTGTGTTCGGAAACAGTGACCTTACTACAACCTTCCGCGGTTGACAGAGCCCCCGGTCCTCTGCCAACCGCGGAAGGTTGTAGTAAGGTCACTGTTTCCGAACAGTGTCCTCCGCCTAGCTTGTTTCATGCTGTCAATCTAATAATATAGGACCAGAATGTATATTGCATGTATTCATCATGTCGTCAATTTCCCCACGCTCACTGGCATGCACGGTTTCAACTTACAGCAAACATCTAGTATATTTCCAAGTGTTGACGAGGAATCTGGCCTTCTCCTTCAGTTTCTCATCTTTCTCAGGACTAGCAGAGTGTTCGCTGTTGAACGAGGAGGGGCCGAAGTTGGGATCTGGCAGCCATAGCAAAGTGCAGCCAAATATCACGAGGAAGACCGCTAATGAGAAGGAAAGTATATGATCCATTCTCGGATTGGCTGTAAATGGTAGCCTTCAGTGCCCTGAGTGCCAAGCAGGATCTGGGTAATAAAAATGGTCTCTTCTCCTAGCAACTCAGAAAGGCTCGAGGCAAGCAGAGAACGGCTGAATATCTCACCCTGAACTGAAGATCGTCGTGAATACCGCCCCGATATTTTGTCGCCAAAGAAGTAATCCATCCCACTATCGGTTTTGGTCTTCTTCCTCCGATCCAATCAGCTTGGCTCGACCAACTGAGCACCGTGCCCTCGGGATCAAAAGTGCAAACTTTGACCTAAGTCCTTGGCCTGGGAAGCGAACAAGAGTTCATAACGCTGGGGGTTAGGCCGCGGTCACACATGAAAAGCTTGCACCGCTTTGGCGGAGGCGAAAAGCGTAACTACCGCAGCCGCTTTCGCGGATCACACGATGCAGCGGTCACACATACATGTAACTACTGTGCTCCTCAACGCTCCGCTTTGGCGGAGGGAATGCAAATGCAGCACGTCCTATGAAATTTTAGATGTTCTTGTCCGAGTTGAAGCGACCTTCGCTTGTACAAGTAGAGCTATCGTGGATCGCTGACAGGCTGCTGAATGTCTCCTGTCAAGTACACTCGTGGATTTGGGGCACATTCGCTGCGGCCCAGTACGGGTGTATTTGAATATTAGTTTAGTTTACATCAATATCAAATTCATATAGTTGTATAGCAGGGTGTCGTGGCCTCCTCCATGATCCATCATCGAACCTGCGACTGCGTGGATGCCTGCAGTTGCAGTGAGGGTGTGGCAGAGTACTCTAGTACTCCCTGGTTGCAGTCCTAGTGTTGCATACTCTGGTGGACGCTTGAAGAGAGTTGGAGATCGTCCCCGATCGGGGCCAATGAGTTGGGAGACGGATTCCCTCACCAACTATCCACTCATAACGATGCAGTATTGAGTGCGAGATCTCTAGAACGTAAAGTTCATTGGCAAAGAAGAACAATATGAAAACTGAATACCAAACGGCAACCAAACAACACCAGAACTCAGCGCAGAAGTAGCACACCAAACTCCAAAGGCATCACAATGCAGGTTCCGCCAAAGCGGATCCGCGAAAGCGGAGGCTCCGCTCGCATTTTTTTGGCGTAGCGAAATCCAAACTTTCCGCCAAAGCGTAACTTACGCCTCCGCCGTTGCCGAGGCAACGGCGGAAGCGTAAGTAACGCTTTGGCGGAAACGCCAAAAAAAGTGCATGTGTGACCGGGGCCTTAACGGTTATCATGGTTATGAACTCTTGGAAGCAAAGCATAGACATCTTGCACGTGCAGTCGTGCACGCGTGCCTGCCCCACGTGATTTGTGCACGTGTCTGCTCCGCATACTGGATGCTACTTCTTGACTTTTTTGTTTTTGTTTTTGTTTTCTGTTTCTGGATCATGATCGCAGTTATTTTTACTTTGAAGTTTGTGGGACTCTTTGCAAGCGCTTCAAGAAGAACGTTCCTGAACTTTGTAGCGTAGTAGATCCGCCTGTGTCTAGCTGTTCGCAAAACAAGGAAGTTTGAAGCGCTCTTTAGTGACCGAGTCTGCTATTTTTCAGTTTTTAGCAGGCAAATTTAAATTTCATCACAATATTGAGGTTCGATTAGAATAATTTGACGAAGCAACTCTTGGTCTGAAATAGTCATACGTTTCTCAAACATGGCGGTGGCTTTCCACAAGGCAGTTCGGTTGCGGTCCTTCGCCAGAACGAGTCTAAACTGCTGCTTTCGCTCCGCATCGCCGTCGCAACCCTCGTTTCAACGCAATTCACATACAGATGCTGGCATGAACAGAGGCAGCCCTTTCGTCACCACACCGATATACTACGTCAATTCGAGTAAGCCACGACACCACCCTGAATGATTGTGTCATCACTTTGTTGTGGACATGACATACATTGGAACACATTTACCTGGCGTGTGCTGCAAGTTGCAAGTTTTGCTAATGTGCGAGTCAAAAGAAATGACGCGAGCTGTTTAAACATTATTACAGGCCCATCTGAAGTAAAACACTTTTCGAGAGGTTAAATTTAGCCATGTGCATGTAGATAGCCAACCACTGGCCTGGAGAGCATTCCGTGTGTCCCGTTTTCGGCACGCTCGGGAGCGAGCGTGCAAGTGTTGATTTTTTGGCATGGCAAACAAGGCCGGGGTCAGAATGCGATAGTGGAATAGTGCAGAAGGGGGTGGAAGTGCAGCATGCTATGTGTGGAATGCCACGCGTTGCCCGTGCCTGCTAATGGCTGCTACCGTACTCGATAGCTGCCGGTTCTGTTCGCTGTGCTGCTCTGAAGACTCGAAAAAATGTCCGCAGATTGAGTACAGTTCTGTCGGGTAGCGCCGAAGAACGACCAGGCTAGAATTTCACCAAGCCCAGCATACCAATGTATACACTGTGACTCAACTGTGCATAGACTAGTACTAGCACATGAAAATAAGAACGGTCTAGGCTACGAGGCTGCCCCCCCCCCCCCCCCCGTTCTTCATCACCCGGCAGTGCTGTATCCATGTTGTGTATGCCCCCCCCCGATGTGCAGGTCCACACAGTGGAGTTGCAGACTCCAGGGGTTAATGGCTGCTACCGTACTTGATAGCTGCTGCGCTTTCTGTTGTCTGTGTTGCACTACTGATGACTCTAAATGAATGTCCGTAGATTGAATATCCATGTTGTGTATGCCCCCCGCCCCGATGTGCAGGTCCACACATTGGACATGTCTACTCCACGGTGATGGCAGACGTGCACTACAGATTCCGCCAGCAGGAAGGCATGGATCGTCGTGATCAGCAGCTCGGTCAGCCAGCGCCCATGTTCTCGACTGGCACAGATGAGCACGGTCTAAAGGTACGTTATATACATGTACACAGGCTTCAGTTAGATATGTTGCCTGATGATTGATAGCTCAAGAAACTCGGAGTAGCAACAGATTATGTTTTCTTGGTGAGGACCGCTTCCATTTTGATATACCAGTACCGTATTTCCCGGAGTATGGGCCGCACTTTGAACACTCGTATTGCACCCCAAAAAACGTCAGTGTGGCTTATACTACAGCGGTGGCAACTGAAATCCGACCCCTGATGTTTCGTGCTGGAGTGCAGCGCCGATTCTAGCCGTCTCTATTTGGTAGTGTTACAATCCCGTGCTGGGTCTTAGCAATGCGAGCGCACCACTCCAGGGTTCGGTTTTCAGTTGCCAGCACTTTATGATGGTCCAATGAATGGTGATATAATTATGGGTTAGATGTCTGTATTCCGTTACAAAAAAATCTGGGTACGGCTCATACTTCAGCATGGCGTAAACACCTGAAGATACGGTACATGTACCGTAAAGTACCGTTGATCCGCCACTCTCTAATCCCCAGTCGAATTTCTACCTGTGAAGTGACTTCAGCGTGTACATCAGAATACGGAATTGAACCGACGCATGCCAATACTGAATAGCAGGACATTTTCGGACGGGAATAGTTTGGGACAAAGCCGAATTTTGACCTTTCATACGGATTTTGTTTTCGTACAGTGCTGCATGATAAATGCACCTGTTCGCATGCAGTACGCAAATATAGTGTACATAATTTCACATGAAAACAAATTTTAGTACAGAATTAATTTTAGTACAAAAGAGGAGGCCGTATACAAAATCGTACGAAAATAAATTCCGTCCGAAAACTTCCTGCTATACAGTACCCAATACGTGGTTGTAGATTACAGTGTGCACAATTCAGCGCGGCAAGTTTCATCTTTTCATTCATTTGTGTAGTTGTGCATAGTATTGGACTTTAGAGCCTTGATCTAATTCCCGCTCTCTACCAAAAATTAGCTGCGAAGTGACACACCGGGGGGGGGGGGGGGGGGGGGGAGAGAGAGAGAGAGAGAGCGAGAGAGAGAGAGAGAGAGAGAGAGAGAGAGAGAATGCTCGAAAAAGGTTGATTGATTGCTGCAAATAATATATTTTGTGTTTGTTGTAGATTCAGCAAGCTGCTGCAGCCGCTGGTAGTCCACCTCTTGACCACTGTACACAGCTGTCTGCCCAGTTCAAGGTAATTGCTAGCATCCCATCTCCTGCCCTTGTGTGCGTGTGTGCGTGCGTGTCTGTACGTGTGCGTGTGTGCGCGCGTGTCTGTACGTGTGCGTGTGCGTGTGTGTGTGGTGATGGTGGTGGTGGTGGTGGTGGTGTGCGTCTGTGTGTGTGTGTGTGTGTGTGTGTGTGTGCCTGGCCAGTTCCCTTCCAAACACACACACACACACACACACACACACACACACACACACACACACACACACACACACACACACACACACATGCACAGTAGGCTTGTTATTCTATTGTGCTGGCCTGGGAAGTCACATCACTGAGACACGGTCAGTGCCCTGACTCAAGAGCAGCACTTGACGCCCTGCAGTTCATAGTGCAACACACTTTAATTGCCAGTCGCCTGCCACGCAACTTGGCACAGATCTCGAGCGAGTGATCGTGTGTCTCTGGCCAGCACCGTACATGTGTTTGTTTTTTTACTTTGAAGCAACACATTTTTGGTCGATGAGAAATGAAACTGTTGGCCATCATCAACCTCTGGCCAATTGGGGTTTTCCGAAAAAGAGATCGATCAGTAGTTGTTGCTTTCACATGCAGCCATGGCTCAATCATGCATCATTTGAGAGGAGAAGCACTCGCCGCGGCAATGGCGGACTCCCTGAGGGTGTCGACCTTCGCGCTCAGACCTGTAATTTGCCTCGATAAATCATCGATTCGACTCTTGAGCCGTGCCTCGCGGTCTGCGGACTCCGTTACAAATGTTACTAACGTCTTCACTACATTTACAATCGACGGCTCGATCCCGGGGAGGGAGCACAACAGTTTTACCTCAGAATCCGTCAGCCCACGAACGGCAGACTTAGTTGGAGGCATGACGGAGGTGAGCCAACGCTATCGGATGTCTACCTAGTTTCCTACTGCTACTACTATACCTTGTGAAGAAGAGGTTGATTCGACTTCGGCGATACTTGGGGAATCGTGTGTTGCTTCCTGTGTGGGAGCTTGCGCTATTCCCACAATACCTAATGTTTGAGACCAGGCCGGCCTGATGCCGGTTTCCTGGTGAGAAACTGTGGGAGCCTCAGAGCGTGAAAACCTGCACCCTGCGCCAAAGTTTGAAAATATAGTATGCCCCAGGTGGTCTTGTTCTAGTTCTCTACCAAGTCAGCGTACCCCTGATAACTTTAGGTTGTGCATATTTCGCGAGCAGTGTTTGTCTTTACGCCGTAGTGCTATTTGCTCATGATTGACAGTTGTGTGTGTGTGTGTGTGCGTGTGTGTGTACGTGTGTACGTGTGTACATGCATGTGTGTGTGTGTGTGCGTACGTGTGCATGCGTGCTCGTGTAGACCTTATTTGACGGCTGTGATATTTCCTACACGGACTACATTCGCACGACGGAGGAGCGACATAAACGAGCCGTGGAGCATTTCTGGGTGAGTCATTGTGCATATTTCTTTCACCCAAGGAGACCATCTGGAATGTGTATACATGCCTGAATTCCGGGGAAAGGAGGAGGGGGAGGGGGGGGGGGGCAATGGCAACGAAGGAGAGGGGATGAGCACCGCCTTCACTGTATTGGCCTTGTTGATAAAGAGGGCTGTAGCACTTCCTACCGCTATGGTCGGAATCGACTATGGGCCACCATTATTGTACCTTGCACTGCACGAGTCCGTTTCTTGCGCTGCTCTGCGGGTACTGTAGATCCAGAGCACATACGCTTCCAGGATTGTGGAAGCTGATGTCTGTGTTTGCTGTGTGTGCTGTCGGTGATCAGAGGCCTCATCATGTGGAGGCATGAGATTGGTGTGTGTATTGGTAACGCTTGCTGCCATCATGTCTTTGAGTGGTTTAGGAGGTACATAGCCGTAGAAGGTCATCGTGTGTGTGTGTATGTGTGTCTGTGTGTCTGTGTCTGTGGTCAATTCATCAGCCTTGCAAGCTGTTGAATGGTGTAATCCCAGCACAAGTTGCTACTTCCTCCGCTAAGGCCGCGGTCACACCAAGCGCGATTCAGCCATTCAGCGGAAAAAAGCGCTTTTTGACGTCATCGTCGCTACGGAAACGGCTGAATTTTCGGCTTCAGCCTTTTTCAGCAGTCAGCCGTTTTCAAAGCGCTGAATGGGAGCGCTGAATGGATTCAGCCACTTTCAGCCATTCTGGCGCAGTACAGTGGCGAGAAAAATAAACTCGTTCAAAGCGCATCTTGGCATGATCTTGCAGCTTGCATCGTGTTCTGCCACCTTCCGGCTTTCGTTGTTGGTGAAACTTCTCTCCTTGCCTTTTTGTCGGTCATCATGGAATCCTGGACAGTAGCACTGGAGCGGCGACTACTGGAGCGGCGACTACTGGAGCTTTTGGTTTGAAACAAAAACCAAGTATGACACCACTATGAAAAAAATACCAGAAAGAGAGTGTGGATCTTGGACGTACTGAAGAAGTGTGCTGGAGAAGGCGGACGGGAAAACAAGAGAAAATCATATTCAAAAATGAGCGGGAAGAAAAAAAACTCTAGCGCACAAAAAAGTCCAGCCGATTTCGTGAAGTGGTGTGACCAACCACCCCATTCAGCACAAGCCACTTTCAGCGCAAGCGGGAAACGGCTTGTTTGGTGTGACCGCGGCCTAAGCAAAACTTTGTTGCATTTTTTGCAGTTCAGTCCAAAGCATTCTATGGCGGACAAAACGCTTTGCAAAGTGGAAAACAAGGCAGCATATGAGAGATACTGAAAGATACTGAAGTAGTTATTTACAGATGTCACACAGCTCGTTTCAAAGCAGTCCAGCTTCATTCTTTGTCTGAATTTGATGACGACTCACTCCTTGACGAGTCGGCATCCTCGCTGACTTTTGCCTCCAGCGCTGCCAGCTTTTGTCCTGCAGTCTTTACAAGTTTCTGGGACACGATTTGATTGTGGAGATCGCCAAGTTCTTCGCTCGAACTGTGAGCTTGAAGACCTCCACGGATGCGCTGGTAGCTGTTGTCTCTGCCGCTCAGACTCTCCAGAATGCCATGGAAGCAGCCATACGGACACAACCAAACACTCCTCACCTTTGCAGCGGAGTACTCGTGCCAGCACGTTCCACAGCCTGCAGAAGCTCCTTTCTGTTTTCCTTCGCCACAGTGACATGTCTGTCTTCAGGCTGTGCAAGAACGCCAAGTCGTCGACGTAGAGATCGGGACTGCGCAGGCTGAAAAACAACCTGATTGACGAACCCTTTTGTTTCCCCCTGCGCCACAAACACACATGCAGTGATTTATTTTGGCTGTGTGCGGAAGCGTATCATCGCGCTGGTACAGCAGTGGCTGGCCGGCTTCTCCATGAATTCTGGGCACTTCTTCGAGCCATGCGGTCTTTCAAACTGTTTCTCATTTTCGCACTTCGGTATCATGCTTGTGTTGTGTTCTGGTGACATCCTGTCAAGAAACAGTTATGCTTCGCCGATTTTTTCAAGGACTCCACGCTTTTTGGTGGTCCAAAAGCCTGTCGGAACAATGGACGACACTGCGGCTATCCTATGTAGGGGATAGATCACTGACATGTTCGTCTATTGCCGACAGAAAGATCATGACAAGAACACAAAAAGGCAACGAAGTTTTCCTTAACGGAGGAAGTATGTCTAACATAGCTGTTCGCTATCATCGCTTCCGCGATGGGCATGTCTGAGGTCTGAGGTATGTCTGTGTCTGTCTGTCTATCTGTACATGCATTCTTCATTACAGAACCTGTTGGTGTCCCGAGGCTACATCTACAAGGGTTCATTCAGCGGCTGGTACTCGGTGTCGGACGAATGCTTTGTACCGGAACTTCAGGTAGGTACACGGTACTAATACATGTGAGTGTGTGTGCGTGCGTGCGTGTGCGTACGTGCGCGCGCGCGCGTGTGTGTGTGTGTGTGTGTACGTGTACCTGTGTATGGGCACCATAACTGTTACTTTTAATAGTGGTGGTCAACTCTTTAGCGCCATGCAAGCTACGGGATGGTGCAGCACAAGTTTATGCGCCTCCTACAGTGGAATAGTCAAGGCCTAAGCATGTGTGTTAATCCTTTTTCTGCACCTTGTCCTCACCCACTTACCGAGGTGTGGTGAGCCCATAAGTGGGATCATTTGCAAGTCCACCCATAGTTTGGGGATTTCAGGGGGTGTCGGCCGTTGGGCGGTTCAATAGCCAATTGAGTCGTCTTTCCAAGATTCCTTTTGAATCTCTCTCCCTTCTCCCAAGGGGAGACCCACGTGACCAGTTATGGCAGTGAGCAAGTACAAGTACAAGTGTGTGTGTGTGTGTGTGTGTGTGTGTGTGTGTGTGTGTGTGTGTGTGTGTGTGTGTGTGTGTGTGTGTGTGCATATGTGTGTGTCTGTGTGTATATTTGTGTACTGTTTTCACTGCAGACTGAAGTTGGACAGGATGCGCAAGGCAACAGTTGTCGGGTAAGACTTTCCCCAAAGTTGTGAATACATCACCAGGATCATGGCAGGGAAAACAAGGAAGAAAGTTTTCTGCGAAAATGGCAGGGAAAACAAGGAAGAAAGTTTTCTGCGAAAATGGCACATGAGTAATTTTGAGGTATCCGCGGTGGGAAGGCGACATTTTTTCAATCCCGTAGCCATTCACATCAGCCACGAGGCTGGTAGATGTTGGTAGAGGTAGATTTCTATATTTCCGTGGCATGCATGCCGGAACAATTGGCTCAAACCTGAAATTGGGGGCCACTTTTAATCAAGTGCGACGTATGATTGGGGAAATACAGTACTTGTTTATTCCGATACTAGTTTGGGCGTGCGTGTTTGTCTTGTAGGTCTCAGCGGAGTCTGGCAACGCAGTGGAGTGGTTGACAGAGGAGAACTACTTGTTTCGCCTAACCGAGTTCATGCCACAGCTCCGTCAGTGGATCACCAACAACCCTACAGGTTTGTTTTGGTGGGATTGCTGTGTTGGTGTGACCTTACACCTGTCTCTGTCTCTCTGTCTCTCTGTCTCTCTCTGTCTCTGTCTGTCTGTCTCTCTCTCTCTTCTCTCTCTCTCTCTCTCTCTCTCTCTCTCTCTCTCTCTCTCTCTCTCTCTCTCTCTCTCTTTCTCTCTCTCTTCTCTCTCTCTCTCTCTCTCTCTCTCTCTCTCTCTCTCTCTCTCTCTCTCTCTCTCTCTCTCTCTCTCTCTCTCTCTCTCTCTCTCTCTCTCTCTCTCTCTCTCTCTCTCTCTCTCTCTCTCTCTCTCTCTCTCTCTCTCTCCTCTCACTTCTTGTCCATCTGTCTTGTTTTGAGTGAGTGTATGTGTTATACCTCATGACGTGTTCTCCTACGTTTTCCTGTCTGACCTAGTGAGTAAATGTACCGTTTCCGTCACCTATTTCCACCCCTTTCATTCTCGCTTCGTGAAGTGTCTTGTCTTGTTCTGCTTTGTTTTATTTATTTATTTTTTAATTGCATTTGTGTGTATCTGTGCGTGTCCATATGTGTGCGTGCGTGTGTACGTGTGTGCGTGTGTGTGTGTGTGTGTATGTGCGTGTCTGTATCTATGCAGTTATCCAACCTCCGGTCTCAGCCGATTATATCATTGAGACGATGTACAGTGACGATTTGCAAGATCTGTCCGTGTCCCGTAGTCGATCGCGTCTTGCCTGGGGGATGCCTGTTCCAGGTGATGATTCACAAACGGTATGTCTGTCTGTCTGTCTGTCTGTCTGTCTGTCTGTCTGTCTGTCTGTCTCCCTATCTATCCATCCATTTATCTTTCTCTTTCTCTCTCTCTCTCTCTCTCTCTCTCTCTCTCTCTCTCTCTCTCTCTCTCTCTCTCTCTCTCTCTCTCTCTCTCTCTCTCTCTCTTTCTCTCACTCAATCACACTAGCACACATGTGTAGTGTATACATGTGTGTGCATGTGTGTATGTGTGTGTATGTGTGTGTGTGTCTTCCAAACAAATTTTGTTTGGAAGGTTGAGTGGACGTCGCCCTCCTTGTGGTCCCCGGCGGCGCTGGAAAGACGTTGTCCAGAGAGACATGAAGGCAGCTGGCGTGGATTCCTGGTTTCAGAATGCCCAAGACCGGCAGAACTGGATGATGTTCCTTGCTGAGCCACCACCGCACGCAGATGATTCGCCACCTTTGCGCTGCTCGCTGTTTGCCAGAGACTTCCGCCGCCGTAACGACATGGCCCGACACAAGTGCATTGCCCAGCAGAAGTTGCCTGTGTCACAACAGAAGGGTGCCATGCAATGTATGAAGTGCATGCGGTGGTTGAGGAGCGCTGGAGGACTGGCTGTGCATCGCTGTCCTGTGTCCACGGATGTCCCTACTGTATCTATTCGCCATGAATCTGACTCTTTTCGATGTGATGTTTGTCGCCGATCTTTCCGCTCCCGTTCTGGTTTGAGCCGTCATCACTGTGACCGTGCGAAACGGATGTCACGTGCAGCCAGGAACAACTGCCGTCATGAATGCGAGCATGGCGAAAGGCGGTTCTCAAGGCCACAGGACTTGCAACGCCATGCCCAATACTGTTGACTTTGCGATTTCTCTCTCTTCTCTTCTGTCTTCTTGTCGTTGTCTCCCGCTTATGGGAGCGGCGTGGCCCGATAGGGTAGCTGTACATAGTAGTAGTAGTAGTAGTAGTAGTAGTAGTAGTAGTAGTAGTAGTAGTAGTAGTAGTAGTAGTAGTAGTAGTAGTAGTAGTAGTAGTAGTAGTAGTAGTAGCAGCAGCAGCAGCAGCAGCAGCAGCAGCAGCAGTAGTGTGTGTGTGTGTGTGTGTGTGTACACACGTACGTACGTGTGTACATGCGTGTGTGCATGTGTGTGAGTGTGTTGTTGTTGACTTTTATTTTACTTCACCAATTGTGTGTGTTTGTGTGTGTGTGTGTGTGTGTGTGTGCGCGCGCGTGTGTGTATGTGCATCTGTTTGTGTGCTTGTTTCTTGTCGTGTAGATATACGTCTGGCTGGATGCACTCGTCAACTACCTGACAGTGGCTGGCTATCCGGACAACCCCAACTTTGAGCAGAGGTGGCCACCGACACTCCAGGTCGTTGGAAAGGACATTCTAAAGTGAGTGTTGTGATAGTAGGGTAATGGCACCCAGGGTTATGGCCAGAACAAAAAACTTTAGGGGAGGGGGAGGGGGGGGGGGGTATCATCGGACCCACAACTTTGTAATTTTACCGCCATTTTGTGCCACCGTTTTGGCTGCTACTTTCACCGACACCTGTAGCAACCAACCAACTAGTAGACCGTAAAAGCTCGTGTATAGGCCATGGGCGTATAGAATAGCAGCCTCGATTTCCTGGGCGTATACAAGGGCACAGGTGTTATTTTGGAACCGAGCGTATACTTGGTATAGGGATAGCAGTAAGTATTGGGTATCAGTACCTGTACATGTACTGGTGTTGCCGGCATACCTGGGCGTATACATAGGCATGGGCACTATTTTGAAACAAAAGTGTTGACTTCCCCTGACTGGGCGTGTACACGGAGGGTGGGCGTAATTTCGGGCGGGCACATACAGGGGCTTTTACGGTACTTCCGTTCCATGTACTATTTATTCACCGGTCAGTGGAACCCGCCATCGATTATGGTTTTAGTCTTTTTTTAGAGGTAAGTAATGATGATGTGAAGAAGAGGTTTTGATGATTATGATGCAATGACTCATACAATGCTGGCGCTACTACATGCACATGATGTGCTGCGTTTTCTCGACCAGCGGAGAAGAACATCTTCTCCTATCCCCACCCCGCCACCCCCGGAAACGGAGAACGAGGACGCAAAGTCGCATTCACTCGCTCTTCTCAATCCGTGGTGGACTTTGCTATACATGCATCACCAACTTGGGAAGCTCGAAATTTTGCATGTTTGCATTATTTCGTATTCTTGGACACTATCTGTGTGTGTGTGTGTGTGTGTGTGTGTGTGTACGTTTGTGTACGTTTGTGTATGTGTGTGTGTGTACGTGTGTGTGTGTGTGTGCGTGTGTGTGTGTATGTACTCATATGTATGTTGTCAGGTTTCATGCTATCTACTGGCCTGCGTTCCTCTTAGCGGCTGGTCTGAAGTTACCGGAGCAATTCCTGGCGCACTCACACTGGACGCAAGCCGGAAAGAAGGTACGAGTGGTGTGCATTCACTGCATTGTACTCAAGCTATCAGAGCATGTCGGCCTTTGTTGGGAGGTGGCCTTGTTGGGAGGTGGCCTTTGTAGGGAGGTGACCTTGGCTGTGAGGTGTCCACTAAAGGAGGTTCTACTGTACGGGCACCAGCAGCAAGAAGATAATGGCTGTGCTCTTCCACATGTGTGCCTTCAGATGTCGAAAAGCAGAGGCAATGTCTATCCAGCTAAGGACCTGGTGGAGAATTTCAATAGCACTTCCATCCGCTACTACTTTTGCACCGTGAACTGCATCACTGAGGAGTCCGGTGAGTTGGTTGTTCTGAAGTACGAATGACAGCCTTCCTGGTCTGGTACTGAGAACTATACTGGCGTGGACATGGAAGTCCGGTCGAATGACCCGGGCCGGTGCCCTCAGTGCGTACAGAACGTTGCATGCAGTGCACTTATTGATGGGATGCGTACTCACGGCTGAATGGCCAGCACCCTGGGGCCGCTTGACCTCCGACTGGATTTCCATGTCCACGACAGTAGAGCTGAGTCACGCAGTGGAAGCAAATAATTCTTGAGAACAGTCTTGATGCTAGACCTCTCTCTCTCTCTCTCTCTCTCTCTCTCTCTCTCTCTTTCTCTCTCTCTCTCTCTCTCTCTCTCTCTCTCTCTCTCTCTCTCTCTCTCTCTCTCTCTCTCTCTCTCTCTCTCTCTCTCTCTCGCTCAGTTGAAGATCCATCTCACTCAACATTTCCCAACCTCATACCTCAAAAACACTAACATCGAAGAGACTCTGGACAAACTAGAGAACTTCATTCACTGGTTTTTCGACCAGAAACCACCACCACCTCCACCAAAACACAAGAATGCACATAAAAACCGTGCAGTGGAAAAACTCCGGGCTCACAGGCGTGATTTAAAGCGCCAATTTCGTAAGATCAAAAACCCGGACGAAGTACCTGCAGCGCTCAGAAATGAGTATTTTTCAATTGGAAAACAAATCAAGCGTCTTTTGAAACAACAAAAGATGTACGACGATCGATCCCGGAACAAGAGGGACCAGGATGCCTTTCTCAAGGACCCATATGCCTTCGGAAAGAAATTGTTTCAACCAAACAACCATGTCAAACCCACTTTCTCTGACACTACCTGCTTTGAGTACTTCCAACACACATATGCAGACCAGGATCGTGCCACTTCGTACGAATCCTGCCCCAGTGCAGGGAAGCCCCGGGATTGCACCCACCCAGTCGATGAGGGGACCCCTACATGGACTGAATTTCAGAATGTTTTGAAGAAGTGTCGCAACACCTCTGCACCGGGTCCTGACAAGATACCTTACATAGTTTGGAAGCTTTGTCCCTCCCTTCAATCCATTTTTTTCACCATCTTAGGGCGGGTTTGGGAGAGCAAGATCATTCCAAGGCAGTGGCAGGTACAGGTCGTCCCTCGTTAATACATAATCTCTAGGACTTGAGAAATGTTATGTATTAACGGGGTTTATGTACTAAACGAAAGTGTACATAACTTGCTTATGTACCAGAATTTTTCACTTTTTTCAACTGTTCTGAGTGTTTCTTGCTACCATGACTAGGGAACGAGATATTCTTGATTCCCTCGATATAACATAAAAATTATGTTATAACGGTCACAGGCAGCGAAGATTCTACAGTTGTACGTGATACATGTCCAGCCGCGCCTGTACAGTCACTCGGAAAACACAGAGCCTTGTCGGTTTGTGATTTGCGCTCTGATTTCTGAGCTACTTCAGTACTTGCGTCCACAAGTAGAAACTAGAACACGATGTGCCTCCACTCGAAGGCCAAAAGACCAACAAATTATGTACTATTGAGGTAGGTGGCATGCGGGTACGGAGAAATGTTATGTACTAACGGGGTTTATGTACTAACGAATTATGTACTAACCGACAAAATTTGTATGGAAGTGACCACGTTTCGTCCGGGACTTGAGATTTCTTATGTACTAACGGGGTTTATGTACTAACCGGACTCGTATTAACGGGGGACGACCTGTAGCGTGTATCACACTCCTGGCCAAGGGGGAGGTGTCTGATGATCCTTCGAAATTCCGACCGATTGCTCTAGCAAACACGTCCGGGAAGATCTTTTTCACCTTAGTTGCAAAGCGCCTCTTGAAACATATGCTAGGCAATAAGTTCTTCGATGGTGACAACCAGAAAGGATTTATGCCTGCAAAGGCTGGGTGCTTAGAGCATACATCACTTTGTTATGAGGCGATGCGTGATGCAAAGACGGCAAAACGCCAAATTTGCATTGCGTGGATAGATTTGAAGAATGCATTTGGTTCAGTGCGCCACAATCTGATACAGTATGCTCTAACCCACTACAGCCTTCCTTTGCAATTCAGGAAATTAATTTTTTCCTACTACGACAGTCTTTGCGCTTTCGTCGTACAACCACACACCCCCACCTTTAATTACAACATTGGTGTTTTCCAGGGGTGCCCCTTGTCCCCGGTCCTTTTCAATATTTGTTTCCAGCTTCTGCTGGACTCACTTGCAGCCCCTGAATTAAGTTGCCTCTCCTATGATTTTAAGTCTGCCCCTTTGCAAGTGTCCCAAACAGCTTTTGCTGATGACTTAGGCCTCTATAGCAAATCTAGTGCAGGTTGTCAAAAACTCATTGCGGTCACGGAGGACTTTCTCTCGTGGACCCAATGTATGCAGGCGGCGCCGCACAAGTGCAAAAGCAGTGCAGCAAAGCTTGTAGATGGCCGGTACAAACCTTACGATCCCTGCCTGACGATGTCAGGGAGGAAGATCGCTTTCATTGACACTGCAGAGTTCAAGTTCCTGGGGCGAAGGCTGCATGCTGATTGCTCTGAGCAGACCCAGCGGGAAGACATCCGTCAACTCATTGTATCTCTCATGCAAAAAGTAGATGGCTCTTGGCTTCAAGACCACCACAAGCTATGGCTTTACCACCATCTTGTAGTGCCCAAGCTTTCTTGGTCTTTCCAGGTTCTTGAACTCACACAAGGTTTTGTACGTGAACTGCACTTTATGTGTTTACCATTTCTGAAGAAATGGTCAGGCCTACCTCGATGCGCAAACTCTGCCATTCTTTTTATTGGCAGTCGCAAACGCTTTGGCTTACGCCTCCACTACCTTCCTACGGTGTGGAAAAAGTGCCAGTCCATCAAATGGCACATTCTTCGATCGAGTGGGGACGCGCGCATGAGGGCGCTGTACACTCTGCGTCGGAGTAAGGATGCGAAGCTGACAAAGCGATATGCGGCGACAATAGAGCTGGAGTGTGCAGAGGCATCAGTAGGTTCAGGGACTCTCCGTCCACCGTCATCTTCAAGTCATCGTGCAGGGTTGGGTGCTCGTGCTCCGAAGCAGCATTCCAAACCCCCGAGGAAGGATCTCCTTCAAACATTTGAGAAGATCAATGCGCAGGAGCAGATTTTGAGGCTGAAGACTCTTCAGGTGCAAGGCAAGTGGTTGGAGTGGACATCGGTGATGTGGCAGGACCTCTCGTGGAAA